GTGGTGGTGGACTGAAAACAGCTGATCAATCAGTTTCAGTATTCTGAATACGGCGGGAGAAAGTCACCCAGTAGAGAGGTGAGACGGTCGGACCTGGAAATCTGATAACCCTGCCCGTTGTTGCAATAATGATTTATGAATACCGTTGAGATCGATGCCTGACATCAAACATTTACCGCGAGACGAGGATGGCTTTGTTTGGACCAATCAGAACGTTTGGAATCACATAAAAGCCAGACTCGATAGCAACTAGATTGAATAAAAGTCAGCTAGTATTGACTAAAGACTTACGTGCATACTGCTTTGCTGCGTTGCCAAGGGTGTAGAATCTATTGATACGTTTGCAACAGCGTTTGGTACGTTGGCAGGTTTTGGAGAAAGTTTGAGAAGACTTTGAAATGCATGACGCAAACATTTTTTAAGTATTGATTAATCCTTAGACGTCTTCTTTGTGAGCTAAAATGTCTTTGGGATGAAAGGAAGCCTATAGAAAGGGATTATTTGTTGTTGTTTTTTCCTCCTTTCACTTTATGTTAATAAGTCACTATGCTGCTTTTTCATTCCAACATTACTGGATACCACTGAACCTAAAGAAATACATTGTTGGCGTTTTTATGGCTTGGGGTAGTCCTATTGGAGATGCTGTTTTAGGTCAAATATAATAATATAGCCTATAGTAATCGTTATCGCAACGTGTTGACTAATTTCTTTTTCTTTAATGTGTATTATTAATTTCTTTTGCGCTCCCTTTGACACAGTTTAGATCATTAAGGAGGTGGGCCAACCCATCGTGAGAGGGATAAAACAACCTAGCAAAAGAACGAGAGCCTCACATTTAAATTTGCCCCGCTCGGAAATTGAACTCGAGTCTCTTGGGTGTGACAGCTAAATGTCTAAAATTGCTACACTGGTGGGTGTTGACTATTCGCTAACAAGTTATTCAAATGTACTAAGCCCAGAAAGGAGAGAAAAAACACTGTTTAATTCTTTTTAACAAATTGTACCTTCACTGTGTATCTTTTCTTGTTTATCAACAATTAGAATTTGAATTTTCGACAACTTTTTTTGAGCAAGTATGTAACAAATACAGCAGAAAAAGAAACT